GAACTGGCAGGGACAGGACTGGGACCATTTGTCATTTTTTCATATAGCTTCCCTCAGTCTTTATTTAATGGACATGTACTGGATTAGGAGTGAGAAGATCTGACTCTACATTTTCCTGACAAGGGAGCTCTTGGAGACTCAGTTTTCACAACTGTACAATGAAGACACCTGGCCTACCTACCTCAGAAGGCTGTTTTGAAGATCACATGTAATAACATATAATAAAGTGATTCATTAATACTAAGTGACATCCCTATACACAGCACAGTCCCTCCCCCACCCCTGGTTTAAAAGTATATTTACCTATATTTAGGAGAATTAGACAGATTGTTTATTTTATTCACTTCAGATGGCTTTCTGAGTTTGGAAATTTCTGCCACCTCTTTCTACCATATTGGAACAGGAAAGATTTCTGGGATCATCAGGTTCTACCCAGTGTGAGGAGACATGACCTAAACCATTAGCTGTTTATCTCCATAGAAAGTGGCCAACAAGTCTTTGTTGACAACATGAATAAATATTCATTTCTTATCTTTCAATGAGAATGTGATAACTTTGGGTTATTGACGTATACACTCCATTCAGATTTTCTCATGCAGTTTCAACCACATCCCTCAACACAATTTTCTGCTATGCAAATTGCTCCAAACATCTAAATACCAGCATAGCTATGAAGCCACTGACCATTATTTTTTGCATTTGCTTGCTGAATATAGGCTTTAGACAGGTTTAAAAATATAATCTGTCTACTAAAGAGGCCCATCAGTCCTCAATATGCCCTCACCTTTTAGTGTTGAAATAATAATCATGATTTGCTTTATTTATGCACTACACAGCAATGAGATGAACTAATTGCATATCTGCTATGAAATAATGTGTTATTACATCAATAACTACACATTAACTCCATTGGGAACACTAGTAATTACACAATATGTTACATTAATGCACCTGTGTTATCTTCTGATTGCCATATCATTAATTCAAGTGACCTCTATAAATCGGTTTCCCAGTATCATTTGTCTATGTTAGACCTCTCCATAACACTTTACAGACTGTTAGAAAAACAATCAAACCATGCAGTTAAAACTATTTTAAAAAAAGAGGGTATGAAGTGTGATCCTATTGCATGTTTGTTGGTTTTTTTTATCACTTTCCTTTGCTTGACATACATAAAAAATTTTAGAGATATATTCCATTCTCTTCTGCGCAAAAGTAGAACTATTTTCACTTAGTGGAGAGTTGCAGCAAGGTGGGATTTTTAAAAAAAATTCAGAAACCTGTCTTGTTCACAAACAGAATCACAGCTTAAAAGAACATAAGTTCACTCTAAAAACTGTCAATCAAGTTTTCACAACACTAACACACATAATAATGGAAAGTTCGAATTTGCTGCTAAAACCTGAGTTGACTCCCAGTCAATTTGCACCTGGTTACATCACACTTGACTTTTTTACAGTTTATTTAGTCCTGACCTTCCCCTCTCCTTACAAGCCCCCATTCAACCAGAGCAACTCCAGCCCAGGAGATGAAAACCCCATCAGCATTTTCATAGTTAATGACAGGGCTACAAAACAGAAAATAACAGCAGGAATCTGAAGCCAGTGCTTTTATTGGACTAACTAACGATATAAATAAAATGGTCCCTGACTGAGCTTCAGAGAATCACTGTCTCTTTATCAGGCCATAGAAAACAGATCCAGGAGGGCAATAAATACGGCACATAACAGAGTGGAATTAAATGATTAGGCCTGAATTAACACCCTGTTTCTGAGCCTCACTTAGTGTTCCATGGCCCCAATGAAACACTGCAATTCACAAACGCTCAAGGCCCATTTAATTTTTATTTCAAGCTAGTTCTGAAGAAGGGATTACCTATAACTCCCCCCTATTCCATTGTATAACTCGTGAAGTAAAAACACTGATGCTGTCTAGATAGCTGTAAGGAAAATAGACTGATACTATAGGAATCACAGAGTCCATTCAGAATCCTGTCTCTAAGAAGTCACATTGATTAAAAGAAAGCAAATCCCTGTCTCTATGAAAGTGGCAAGGCTGCCTTCGATGAGAAAATAATGAATTAATTAAATCAACTTGATTATTTTCCATGTTATTGACAACAGAACTAAGCAACTGTTAGTCTAAATTTTTTACTTTTGGAACTGGGGCTTTAGCATGCCAAAGATCCTAATTAAGTCTTAACTGCAAAATGGAATTTAGTAGCACCTTTGAGGATAATACATGAAGGCCTCATTCCCCATTATACCCTATACTATATGATAGGGTGGGTTAGTTTAACTTAAACCGTAGTCAAGGGAAGTTAATACTGTTCTACACCTTCCCATTTACAAAATGGCTCTAGAACAAGAAATCCAAGCATGGCATTAGAGAAAGTCTCCATTGTACCAGTGAAGTACTTAGAGATTTCACATGATATATGCAGCCAGAAGAAACTGAGTCCTTAATTCACTTTGTGTAGCTGTGGCTTGAAAGGGTATATGAGATGGAGATAGATCTATAAGGCAAGGTCCTCAGGAGTCAGGAGGGAAGGGAGTTCACAGCTTTGCTGTGTCTGTGTTTTTTCCCTCATTAATCCTCACAATATCCTACAAAGTAGACATGATCATTCCCATTTACAAATAAGGAAATTGAGGCTAAGGAGTAGCGTAAGAATTGCCCAAGTTCACACAGAGCCTGGTAAGGCTGAGATTCAAATCCAGATCTAGGTGATTCTAAAGCTAGACCTTTCCATCAACACTATCATCTCAACTACTTAGGACTCCTGTTCCCACCGGACCTTTTACTTAGAAACTTCTGCCATAACCAAAGAAACCAGCCATCATGCAGAAGAGGGATGAGACTATTTCAGCTAGTCTCAAAGGGTAGGAAAAAAACCAAAGGTTTTTGGCTCTGGATGAGAATGTGTCTTATGAAGCCCCAGGAGATCCCGACATTCAATGAATTGAGGAGCTCTTCTCTGGAATTAGATGAACCTGCTTGTCCAGGACTGCTGCAGAGTGTGAACCATGGAGTAAATGCAGTCCAGAATCCATCATCACCCTGGAGGAGCACAAGGAGCCCTGACTGGAATAGAGCAGGGAGAATTCTTGCAAAGTCTCGAGATTATGAGATTTGACCACACCCAAGTTTTCCCTGACAGCTCAGTATAGCATGTAGTTGTACACATGACAGGAAGGCACACTTAATAGATTGAATCTTCTCCCCCTCTGTACTTCTGGACAATGAAATTACTGTAATTCTAGCTCAAATTTATGCTTATGTATCTTCAATGCAACACACACTAACACACATACATAATTCTCTCATAAAGCAATCTTACTTACAAGGCTTGGGCACTGAAGACTACATCGTGGAGAAATTAAACAATAATGAAATCTTTTTTAAAAGATAATCACTAGAAAGTTTCCTGGTGACAGATTCATGTTAGCGTAAGAGTGTTGAGCAGTGTCTATCTGTTGAATTGTGATTAGGCACTCAACAGGCAGGGAAATGTCTGATTTCATCCTGGGGTAGGGAACCTGTGGCCTTCTGATTTCAAGATTCTTCTTTTTAAGACACCAAACGAAGCAAGAATAGCTTAATTTTTCTCTGCTGCACCCCTTTTAATAAAAGGATTTGTTCTGCAAAATTTGGATTCAAGGCTACACTTAAGGACCTAGAAGACCACATTTCACCTTAAGGCCACAGGTTTCCCACTGCTGCAAGAAGAGGTCTTTGTTTACCAAAAAGAAATATTAAAATGATTTAAGTGAGTTTAATTTGAATCACTAATTTTTTGTTCCTTGCCCAGCAGTTCTTTGGCAAAGGTCTAAATTATAGTGATTGCTCTTGGTTATGGTTTTGAATGGTAACAACAGGCCCCCTGATATCTTCTGGCAAAGACTTAGACACAATCCCAGGCCTCCTTTTGACCTTTACTTTTTAGCATTAAGTAAAGTAAAATTTATCTCACTGTGTCAGCAATACAAGCCAGACTATGTCTTTGAACTCGAGTCCTTGTGTACTTGACTCCACAGCAACCTATAGCTTTAAGTAGTTTGTTTGGTAGATAGGACCAACTTGAGCATTTTCTCTACCATTTGCTCACGCAAGTGGTTGTTTTTGTACTTTGAAGGCATAACTTCAGTCTTAAAAATCCACATAAAAATGGGATAAAAATGGGAACAAACTTACGGACTATCAACAGTTTTTACTTCAACTGGTTACAGAAGCAGCGTGTAATGAAATCACAAAAAAGTGCTTCTTTAAAATTGTGAAGTATGTTATCTGCATTTTTGAGTAAATGGCAAACTGTAGTGTAGAGACCAGTTTCACCATTTTAAAGCTGCATAACTCTTCCATGACTTGGTTTCTTCATCTAACGTGGGCATTGCAATAGCTTCCAGGATTGATGTGGAAATGAAAGGACATAAAAAATGTGAATTGTATTCTTAAAAAAAAAAAAAAGCATAAAGTGGTGTGCAAGCATGAGGTATTACTATTAATAATTCTCAATAAAGACTGCCCAAGATTTTAAGTTCTTATCCTTGCTCTGTCACGTTTTATTATCCATTGATAAAAAACCTGCCCCTCTAGCCTTATTTCAGACTTTGTAAACTTGGTCTTCCTTACAACAATTAATCACTGATCCTGTAAAGTTTAAACTCACAATGCTCAACTACAAAGCTGCTTCTAGAACCACGTTACCTGACCTCCTTCATATCTTCAACTCCTGTCTACTCTTGGTCTGAGCCTTTCTGTTTGAGCTTAACAATGTATTTTCCTTTTTGTTTGGATTTCGCAGAAATCACATTGTTCAGGAAATTGTTTTGCAGATCCTCTACTTTTGTGATGTAACATTAAAGAAGCTATCCTTTTAGGCAAACATGTAAACTCACTGTACTGCTGGGGATGGGGGTGGGAGAGGTCTCAGTTCATTACATGGAAATTATTGTTACTGTGATTTGAAAATATTTTGCCCACCTATAGCATTTGCTTACCTGTTTATCATCCATCTCCCTCCTCTGAAATGTGTGTTCCAGGAGAGAAGGGTCAGTATTTGTCTTTTTCACCACAATCCCTGGGCCTAGAATACTTCCTGGAACACAGTAAGAAGCCCAATAAATAGTTGTTGAATGACCAGATGAATTGCTACAAATAGAAAAGGTCACATTCAATATCACTAAAGCATTTATGTCTGAATCCAGTTTTTTTTTCCCTTCCCCAAATGAAAGCTTAACACTTTTCTAAGCTCTCACAATAAAAATTTCACTGGCTAGGTCCTTAGCAATATTAATTCCTTCGTGACTTAGTCCCATCACCATTGTTCTCAGGGCCTGAGGCTGGGACAAACATGACTGAGGTTTTCAAAAAATATATTTTTAATATAATTTTAAAATATACTCACTGAGGGAAGGCTCATAAAATTCAGCTTCAGCCACAATCTGGACTATAGGCTGCCAAGCGCCGTGTAAATAAATCATCAAGTCATTTTGGCATCCTGTGGGCCAGAAGGAATATCTTCCTCAGTAGATTTAAAGAGACACAGTTCTGAAAGAAACAGGAGCAAAGTGAGTGACTAAATGTGCACTGTCTTATTGTTCTTCTGGAGTTTGGACAGATTCCTTGAAGTGGCAATTGTCCATTTTACCAAGGGCAGATTCTTTTTTTTTTTTCCTCTTAATTGAAATCCATTGTGGAGTTGAAGGAATCCATTCCAATATCCACAACAAATGCCCCTACCTGCTTTGCAACTACTGGTATACTTGAAAGAGAAAAAATACGGCAGCCCCAGCGGCAGGTTACAAAGACAGCTTGTAGCCATGTGTGCGTAGCACGGCTTCAGATGAGTCAAGGGCCACCTCAGCCCGGCAAAAAATCACCGACGACTGTGGAGGGTGGCCAGTGTAACGCGGGAGTCTGCAGGGGCTGTTTGGGAGAGTCTGCAGCAATGGTCCAGCATGAGTATCCAGATTAGAGCTGACCTGTGTCACACACACACACACACACACAGAGAGAGAGAGAGAGAGAGAGCCAGCTGCTTCCCTGGCCAAGTTTCCCTGGCTAATCTAACCCAGCCTGCTCACCGGCCTTTGTAAATTTGCCTGAATGAAGAACACCAGATAAAAACCACAGATCCATGTCCTGTGGATTCAGAAACCAAGCCAGGAATCTGAATCCTCTTGACCTCTGAAAAGGAAAAGGAAGAGCAGCTCCAGGGTTTGCAGAAAGCTCTTTTTCAGTATTGTTCATAAAAAGAAACTGTGTCTCAAAAAGTGAGGGTCTGTAGGGGCAAAAATGATAATATATGTCTTTTCAGAACTGTCGATTCAAAGAGGGTATCATTGATGTTGGTACATAGGAAGCTCAACTCATTCAAAGGAAAGGCTCAAAATTTCACATGTGAGGTACCTGTGGGAACACACATTGAGACACAAGAAATATCAGCAGGCCCACTTGTACCCTCCTATATTCACATGTGCACACACACACACACGTACACACGATAATCCCCTTCTTGACAAACATCTCTTTTTTGCTGCCTTGTCTTTCATGTAATCATGCCTAAAAATAAAAAATTGTATACAGCTTCTTTTGTGCTTTGTATTTACCAAAACCCAGGCCAGTTTGGTTCTTACTTGCAACAAGAAATTTCTTATCTGCTCACTATCCGTATCTGTCTCAGTCAGTAGCTGATAGACCCTCCTTGGGTTATTAACCAGTTAGTTTCTTCCAGAAAAAAGGTTATTAGTGTCCAACATTACTCAGGGATGTCAGGAGATGCAGGTATCAGATCTTTTCACCCTGGTTTATCTTTAATTTAATCTCTAGATTTTTCAGCTCTAGCTGTCGGCTGCCTTCCACTTAATAACATGCTTTTATCTGCTGCTGGTGGTGGTGTTTTTGTTTTACAACAACTCAATAACCAATATAATCATGACGGAACTGACAAATTCTGCATTAATGGATTTCCTTCCTACATCTAGGCTCCAAGCTGCTGAAAGCTAGAAAGGATGAAATAGATTCCAGGCAGTTACAGGTTAAGGATCATTTGCATAAATTAGCAAGTTTTGCAAATGAATTCATCTAGTGAGAAGTAAGACACGGGACACTGCATTTTAATAATTGACATTCCACATGAAATGCAATGTTCTTGAGAAGGAAATTGAGCTCCAGGTTGCTATTAGAACCAGCGGACCAGCACGAGTGGAAAGAAATGCCATCCCCCATTATGTGAGCGACCGCTCCTGCATAACAACTACCCCCATGCTGATGGACTTCTTTTAATAAAAGTACTAGTGCACGCTCACGGGAAGGGAGAATCAGAGCGATCTACTCATCAGCAGTATCGAATAGGAAATGAAAATAAAGAGTTCTGCAAGATGCTGCCTTCACGTGCACCCAGCAGCTCCGCACTCTCTTTCTAAAGCCATCTTTCATTGTCCCTTTGATTTCGCGGCAGCTCCCTACCTCACCCCCACCTTCTTCCATTTCAGTTTTATGAAACACTTAGGAGATTATTTAAATATATACAGAGTGTGAGTAAAAGTTTTAAATTACCCAATTTGGACGATGTCTCTCATAATGTTGATTAAATTACAAATAAAGATAAGTGGGCCGTTTTGCTGCCTCCTCCTGGCCTAATTTGTTTAAGAATATGCCACATTGCAAATATTAGTGAGAATGCCAAATGAGTGTCTTTCCTAGGTGTTAGTCAGTCAAAGTCAGGATATGCAGCCTGTCGGAAGTACAGACCGCTCACACATGCAAACTGAGAGCTGGAAACAAGTCCACTGCAATAGTGTTTCCTGGCATAATTTATAATTAACATAAAATGAATTAAATCATTCACTCGATGGACTTTTTTCCAAGTTCATGTAGAGTAAGTGTGTCATAGCAATTAATTTTCAATGAACTGCGCCAGCCAATAAAATTTCTCCCAGACACTGGTAATAATCCAAGATATTGATGGAAGAGGTATCATCATTAATACGAGTATAAGCCTCAAATCACGTACAGGGACCAGGCAGATACAGTTTCCCCCTCAGATAGGGAACATGATTACTGCTAGCTGCCTGTTGTTCTTTCCAATTTGTTAAGCTTCTGTTTGTTCTCACTTTGCACACTCATAGCCTTTTAATTTTGCCTACACAACTGTTTTTGCCTACAGTGCCCCTGTTTTTGCGGGCTATCTAATCTGAAAAAGTTAATACACATGAACACATTAAACAGACTCAAAAAAAAAGGACAGATTATATTGCCCATTTAATCGAGACATTTTCAATGGCTTTTCTACATGTTCACAATTACAAATAATTGATAAGAGATTAATACAACCAGATCTTTGGTTTATAGAATTCAAACAGGCATCTGAACTGATATTTTGGGGCAGAGTTTTGTTTGTTTTGTTTTGTTTTTACTGAACTCACCATTTGGTTTTGGTACTAAGTAGATAAAGCCTAAGTGACCCACATTTCTTTGTTGATTATAAGTGATTTTGCAACAAAGAAACCAATGGCCATTTGATTGGTCACTTCAGAGTTTGTGTTAAATGATACTGCACTGATTCCCCTAGCTTTTCTCAACAATAACACCTGTTAACCAGAGGCATTTATGATTTTATATGCATTTTTCTTTCATGTAGGGAATACTAGTTGGTCGTAGGGTTAAATATATTTGATAGTTTGAGAGGACAATCGTTTGTCTATGACTCTAGCTGCATGCTTATGCAATATCAAATAAAGAAATTCTGACCAGGCAGTTGATATGTGTAATGAGTTGCCGTAGCTCTTCTCCCAATAAAGGATGTGTTCAGACTTTGCTTATTTATAGCCCAATAAAGAGAAATTTCCACTGTTCTTTTCAGCAGGCTGAGGATAAATAGCTCTTCCGTTTCTAACATTTAATGTTCACAGACACAAAAACAACTGCTCTGAATATTAAGCCAACATTCATAATTTTTTTCCTATGAAGGGGAGAAATCCTTGAATATGAAACAATGAAAGGTTCAGATATAATCTTTCCCATTTTAGAACTGTTTTATTGTAACTTGTTTTCCTTAAGAAAGAGGCACTCTGGGCTTAATTTGGTTACTGGGTGAAGCGCCATCAACTCACGTGCTTTGACAATCTTCTCTGACCTGAGAGTTTAGGGCTCCGTGGAATGAAATCCAGTTACTAAAGATGGTGCAGCCATAATACCAAATGTCCTCTGCCGAGGCTGTTACTGTTGGGTCAAGCTGCTCTTTATGAGTCTGCGTGCAGCAAATGCTTTCTATTTTCACATTCTAGAGCAAGGAACAGCATAAATTATTCCTAATTCTTGATTCTGTGATGAAGTAGCCATCTGGTCTGATAGTACGGTGACAATGATATAGGAGTGAACACTCGATGCTTGGTCTACTGCACAGAAAAGGACAATAGGACATATTTTAAAATGTCAGGATCCATCAGAACCATATCCAGGAAAGTTTACATTTATGAAAATAGATAGTATTGAAGATACATCATGATGCAAATCTAATCATGGCTGCCAGGCAGCTGAATTAAATTAAGAGTAAATAGGAATGTTTCTAATTAAAAATATGTTATTCCTGTTCCTGCTGTGTTTGCCATATCTGTAAAAAGAATCATTGTCACACCACTTTCGGGGAGTTGTGTCACAAAGGGTGTTGAGGTTGACCTGTCTGTTTCTCTCCTTTGACACATGCATGTGGAGCTTTTAGGCTATAGATATTAATATATGATGAGTTTGGCTATTTCTAGTCAGTCGTTAGTGAAACTTTTTTTACCAATACATTTGTGTTCATCACTAGATAAGGCAAATGTATTACTGGCATGGGGACTCTTAAGAAATCACAGGTGTGTGAGCACAAGGAACATCGATAGAGAAAGAAGAAGGTTTATTTTTAGCCTCCCTTTGATATATTTATCATCCTTTCTTTTTTATTCAACAAACATTTCCTGAGTGTTTTCATGTACCAACTACTGAATTAGGTGTCTTATTGAAGTTTGGGGAGGAGAACAATGATATATTTTGATAGTCTTAATGTAGTTGATGAGTATCACTTAGGCAGGGATGATTTCCCTCCTCAGGAAGTGAGTGCCGTGAACATCCAGAGATGCTGTCTGGGTCACTGCGATAGGCCAGTCGGATGACTACACAGGCTGCAGGATGTGGGTGACTGCAGATGACAGGCTGACTGAGGGTAAGTAGAGGACTTGCTCATTGAGTGTGGGGGTGCTAACCCAGTTTGTAGATGTTGGTGTAGGTACAGAGTCCAGAGGATCTAGGAAACTCAGCTATGATTTCAGGAGTCAGAACCAGGGGGTCTAGCCCAATGTGTAGGACACAGCACGAGGGTCTGAGTAACAGTGAGTGCCTCCAACACTTAGTAGAGGACAACTTTAAATGAAAACTGAGCCTTTACTATCTTAACTTCTAATAGATACATGAAACTACTCAAAAGACTTCAGCATTCTTTCTACATGGGTCCCAGATAATGGAAAATAGTCATTTCTTTTCTTTTGAAGGAGAAAGGAATTCACATATTCAAATAGTAATTAATGAGTATCTGTTTTATGTCACAAATAGCAAAAATTCACCATGCAGAGAACTATCCCATCCCCTTCTCCACACCTAGCCTTCTTCTGCTCTCTCCCAGGGACTATGGCCCCATCATCACCCAGTCTCCCAGTCCTAATACCTGGAAGTCATCCCAACTCACTTCCAGCTTTCTCACACCCACCAGCTATTGCCAAATATTTGATCTCTTTCCCAACTACTGCCATTATTCATAAAATCATCATCTCTAGACTGCATTGCTATAATAGCTTCCTGGCTGCTATTTCTAAAATAAAATTCTATTTGTGTGTTATCATAATATGAATCCCAGGATACTCTACATTGATTTTGGAAGCAAATCTATGGTCTGGCCACTTTCCATGTCCCCAATCTTATCTCTCATCATTCCCACCCCCCACCCCCAACCCCCCCATTCCACACCTTCAGATGTATCAAACATTACAGCCACACTCAATGATTTGAGCTCTGCCCTTTTCTCCCAGAATGTAGTTTTCCATGGGGGTCTTCTCACTTCTTTTATTCCAATTCCATCTACACTAATAAGACTTTCAGCTTCCTTTCTAAAAGTTGGCCTAAAGTAAACCAGGCCCTTGGTCTCTACCCTCCAACAGGAGCTCTGATATTTTTCAGAATCTTCTCTAAGAAATGAGATAGGGAGCAGAGTCACAGGTGCTATGCCTGGCCCCCCCTCCTTTACTATTATGTTCTTATTCTAAATGGTTGGTACCCTGTAGGAGCCCTTGCCTAGGATTCTTGCTCCCCAGCCCTTAGTTTTCCCATTGTTATCCCTCTTCCCAACACACAGGAGAAATTCTGTTGACAGTCTCACCTACTTTGAGAAAAATACTCTATTCTACTGCCTCATGGAGCAACGTCTCTCATTCCTGATTTGCCTTTGGAGGACAGAGGTTTGCTTCTTTCTCAGAAGCTTGCTAGAATTCTGACGCCTGGCACCATGAATAGACTCTTATTCAAGTGAAACACTACTTCCTGCCTACATGGGGTATGTCTTCGACCGTTGTCACTCAAACAATAAAAGAATGCCTTTACCAAAAAATAATCTTAATATCCACACAAGAATCACTTATAAACAACAAGGCAGATAGAGTTATTTTATGAAACAAAACTATGTTCTACTTTTAGATGTGTAATTCTAAGCAAGGATGTTATGTATACATTCGCATATGATACTACTAAACAAGGCCTTATTTAAACACACCAACATTGATAGAAGTCACATTTTCACAGAATCAGACACAAGGAGTTTGCACACTCCTTCAGAATTCTGAACATTCCACGAGGCACAGGCATTTGCTGCTCACTGAATATCCATCTGCTCCCAAGTGATTGGGTTTGGGCAATGGGCCATGAGCAACAGTCACTTCTATGTTGAAGCATTGAAGAGTCAGTGTCCAACTCTGCCTTTTCTCCTGCCACAATACAAAGAAGAGTAAACACACACACACACACACACACACACACACACAAGGGCTATCTGGAAAGTGTCCAGCCATTGTTAATATAATAAGAATGGTTTGTGTGACATTGATGTAACCCAGCAGCCAAGGAGAGCGGACTGTAATGTACATGCGTGAACAATGACGACTTCACTGTCCTCGTCAGTGGGGCACTAGATGCCGTTGAGTGAGCATGTGTAACGTGTGGCCATCGCATTCAAAATGACTGAGTGAACAGAGCGATGAATCTGCATCGAATTTTGCATTGAGCTTGAACTTTCCTCTACAGAAACTATTTGGATGATTCAGAAGGTTTTCCAAGATAATGCAATGAGGGCAACACAAATAAAAATGTGGCACAAACATTTCAAAGATGGTCAAGAATCTGTTGAAAGAGATCCACGTTCTGGAAGGCCTGCAACAAGCAAAACACCTGAGAATGTTGAACATGTACGGGTGAGGTTAAGAGATGGTGGGAGAACTGTGTGAGGTCTCAAGGTCTCTACTTTGAAGGGGAATGAGGCATCATTGTCCTATGTAGAATGTTTCTTATATCTTCTTCAATAAATGTATCTATTTTTTCATATTACATGGCTGGATACTTTTTGGACATATATATATATGCATGTGTGTCTATGTATATGTAAATACACACACACACACACACACACACACATATGCATACAGAAAGAGAGAGAGAGAGATGGTGGAGCTAGAAGGTGCAAGCAGAGCAGCCTCAATCTTGGTGTCACAGCATGGAGGGCAGCTACCCTGAAGAATTAAGTGACTCACATTGGGAAAAGCATGAATAAGAAATAAACTTTTATCACGTGAAATCACTAGGATTCCAAGATTATATTTTTACTCACATCAGAGCCCATGCTATCTTGACATACACATACCAACATCTCAAGGTTCTAAGATACACAGAACAAGGAATGAGATTTTAAGATTGACTGAGGTATTGATATAGAGAATCATATCAGTGAATGTCAGTATTTATAAAGGTTCAGTTCATCTTATCTCAGTATACTAGGAACATGAAGAACACTGATAACTAGCCTCAGAGCTTTCAATGCTGGCATATTATTTAAGTTAATGTGAACTTTTATCACTGAAACTATAGACAGGTTAAGAAGTTGGGCTCACACCAAAAATACATGCATTGCAGCAAATCATTTTGAAGACTCAGTAAAAGCTTTAAATATAGGTTATGTAAAATGAAGCCTTTTATATCAAAATTTGATTTAAACCCAGCAGTTCAGAGAAGATTTAAGACACAATTTGTCTGATGGAACTGCTTGAGGCCCAGATCTATTCAGTTTGTGAAAATAGATTCCATATTGAAAAGACTGTTTTCCTTTCTATGGTGGATATGTAATCCATATTCAGCCACTTATCAGCAAATTCTTGATCTTTGGAAAGATGTTGAACTTGAACCTCTTTCTTCTCCTTGTTGCCCACTTCTAAGTTGCTTATGATGTACCTGCCTCTCCCATATCAGCCTTAAAATATTGGACCACCAAGATAGAAATATACAATTTTCAGAATGTTTCTTGGTTTTCTATTGTTTACTCATGGTAAACTATTAAATATATATATATATTTTTAATTTAAAAAAATTTTATTAGTGATTTCACATTAGATAGTATAATGTTTTCCCCTCTTTTTGGTAGGTTGGAGCAGGATGGATTGGAAAATGTAAGTCTTTCTTGGTGTTTTGGTTTGCCATAAATTATTTCCATGTCTTTAAACCTGCATATCCAGTTAGAGCTGGGTCAGGTTCTTGACAAATGCCTAATCATTGAATCTAGCATGCACATATTCAGCTTTATTTTTTTTTTTTTTTTAGTTTCCCTCCTTTGTATTGTTTCATTGCCAAGTTCAGTGCCTAATACATAGTAGGCCCTCGGATACTTCTTTTTTTTTTTTTTTAATTATTTTTTTTTATTTTGGCATATTATGGGGGTACAGATTTTAAGGTTTCAATAAATGCCCATTAAACATTGCTACAGGAATGGGTATTCTAAAACATGGCAATTGTCTTGCAGGCCTGTGGCACTTTTTTTTTTTTTTAATATTTTTTAAACTGTCGTGTGTTTGGGAGATAGGATGAAAGTGGGGTAGAAAAGAACGTGGGATTTTATTAGAAAATCTAAGTTAAGAATTGTTATTATAATTAAACATTAGATTTGGCTCTGAGTTTCATAGTAGTCAAGGCAAGAGGGAAACCTGGTGAAGTTTATGATTTTGTTTCAATTTTGGCAAAAATAATGCTAACAGAGAGGACTACTGGCTGACAATTTAGATTATTAAAAAAAGGGGTTTTTTTAATGGTCTGATTTTGAGGAACACTGCCT